CAGCCTCCCACTGTGGGAAAGCCACCACACTCAGCTAAAGGTAAGCTGACTCCAGCTACATATCCTACATAGATGGAGTTAAACCTTAAGCTGAGCTGCTGGGTCTAGTATAGACCTGGCCTGAGGACCTGTGAGGTCACTGTCCTCCAGGGTTTCTACACACTGCACCTGGTTTTCAGTTATACCAAAGGCTCTTTTACATGGAAATAAAACACTGATGTTACCCCTTTTACAGAGAAGTGTAGAGATGATTTAAGACAGTGGTCCCCAACGTGGTGCCCGCGGGCACCATGGCACCCCCCGGGCCATTTCTGTGCACCCGCCGAGTGATCGGGGACGGCCCTGCCACTGGGTGCGCAGTGCATGGGTGCTGCCGGCTCCTGGGCATGTGGCACAGGCGCCGGCCCTGGGCGTACAGCACTTGGGCGGTGGCGGCCCCGTCCTCAGGAGCATGGGACATGGACTGTTCCAGCCCCGGGCGTGCAGCGTATGGGCGGCCCCACCCCTGGGTGTGCAGCACAGTTGTGGCGCCAGCCCCAGGAGTGCAGTGCATGGGTGGCACCAGCTCCAGGCACGCAGCGTATGGGTGGCCCTGCCCTCAGGCGCGTGTGAAGCCCCGCCCCCAGGTGTCCAGCGTGTGAGCAGCCCCAAAAGGTGGGGGACCACTGGTGTAGACTCATGCAAAATCAGGCTGATGCAAAACAACTTACATCAACCTGACTTTGTAGAATAGACCAGACCTGAGAGGCAGATACACAAGAGAGTGAAATCAAAATTCCTCATAACAATTCCTTTGCTGACATACATTACTTCAGTTCTACATGTAGTGAGCTTGAGATGTGAACTCTGCAGATACATTTTAAAAGTTTGTTTAATTAAAAATAACAAACTCTTTTGACAAATAACAAAGCAATACTGCCTTTTGAGCTGAGGTTCAATAGTCAGTAGTTCTGATATCAAGACAGATCCCAATTCCAAACTTTAGGAAAAACACATAAAAATACTACGTTGGTAAAAGGACTCTAGACTTGGCACTTTTAATCAATATTCAATACCAGAGAAAGGGTGGAGTAATTTGGATGGACACAATACAACCATTTAAGCATCTCTTATCCAGTTAAAGGTACATTTTGTTCTTGCATATGTACATGTCTATGCATATGCTCCCTAACACTCCATAGACCTTTGTCTCCACTAAAGAAAAAACGTGTATTCCTACCTTGAAGTACAACCCTAGTAAAAATAAAGTAGTTTGGAGTTTTTACATAATTTAACAGGCCAAGTTAAAGGCTATGGGTCAGAACATGAAGACAAGACTCACACAGGGGCTGAAGCAAATTAGCACACAGACTTAGGAACCTCTCCTCTACAGCACTGAACAAATCTTGGATACTTTAGAGAATCTTCCCATCATACTTATTATAGGATATAGGGGTGAAAATAACTTGAATTTCCTACAGCTACTGTCATATTACAACCCTCCCTTCCCACTTCCACTCTTAGACACTTAACTTCATGGATCCCTATGCATGATTTTGATACATAAAGCAAAACTACCAATAATCTGTGTGTGTGGTGAGGTTGAGTGAGTGTGTGTGTAAGGGGGAGCTCAGGGCAGGAGATGGGGGTGCAGGAGGCACTCAGGGCAGTGGATTTGGGCTCAGGGCAGGGGGCTCAGTGCAAGAGATGGGAAGTGCAGGAGTCGGCAGGGGTGGAGAGGCTCAGGGCACAGAGTGGGAGGTTCAGGAGTCAGGGCAGGCGGTTGGGTTTGGGGGGAGGGTCAGGGATTAGGGGCCACAAGCATTGCAGGAACAGTACATAATCTGCCTGTTGCCTCACCTGATTGTGCACACCTGGTCACCAGCACCAACTTGTAGCAGCAGGAGCCCAGCTGGGAGAGCACATCACAAGCTTCACACAGCAGGCTCTTTAAACAGCATACGCCCAGCTGGCTTTTGCAGGACCACAGTCGGCTTTTGCTGGAGTGGCATGCAGGAGTTCACCCGCTTACTTTCACCTCTGGATGTTAGAGGTTAACATAGACATTAGAGAATATATCTACACTGCATCTAGGAGCTATCCTCCCTGCCCAAGCAGACAGACTCATGCCAGAGAAGTATGAACAAGCATGCTAACAATAGCAGTGTGGAGGATGGCCCTGGTAGAAAAGCAAGCTAGCCACCCTAGCTCAGATCCAGGGTATCAAAGTGCTTAAGAGCCCAACTTTCTGCCCAAGCCACAAGACCTATATTGCGATTTTTAGTGTGATAGGCTAGCCAGGCTTGAACTAAGTCTGCCTGCCTGCTCCTAGCTGCAGTGCAGACAAACACATACATTCCTCCATGGCAAATAGCAAGCACAAGTGTTTGAGTACTGAATTTTTTACTAAGCAAACAAAATATTTCACTGTTCCAACATACTTGATGTTTAACCTACTTTCAACTTAGAACTATACTCTCAAAAGCCTGTAGCTTATATATTTCCTTAAATAATAAACCATGTGTCAATATGCAGCAGCAGAAAATTTCACCACAAATTAATTTATTGTATGAATTTTCTAGCAATAAAATTACCTTCAGAAGCCCGAGCCTTTGTCCCTTCACAAAAATCCCACTGGAATCTAGGTGCTCTGATCAGTCTAAAGTCACACTACAGAACAAAAAATAGCCTAATATTAATAAACTAGAAGATTTACCTGGCATTGCTTGGATGCTTAAACTCATTTTTTTGGGGGGAGGGAGGGAGGAATAAAATGGTGGGACTGGAGATGAGGAGTTCAGTATGCAGGCTGCCCCAGGGATAGAGGAATACCCCAGCCCTCTACTGCAGCAGCTTGGGGCCAGGTGAGAAGCTCCTCTCCATGGTCACTGCAGTTCCAGCTGGCACAGCCAGGGAAAGGGTGCATGTCCCTTGGCTGGGGCAGGTCCAGGTTCTTCTGCCCTTGCTTTCCCCAGTCAGAGTAAGAAATGCAGCAAACTACACTTTAGTTGGGACTGATCCTGCCTAAAGCAGGGGGCTGGACTTGATGACCTTCTGAGGTCTCTTCTAGCTTTATGGTTCTATGATTCTATACTTTCCCCTTGCTCCTTGATGAAGGGGAACAGCCAGCAACATCCCTGCAGGAATCAGGGGAAAGGAGGTTCTATGATTCTATACTTTCCCCTTGCTCCTTGATGAAGGGGAACAGCCAGCAACCTCCCTGCAGGAATCAGGGGAAAGGAAAGCTTCAGCCCCACTGCCCTCTCTAGAGAGGCCCATAGGGATGGAAGGCTCAAGGGTGGAGTAATCATGGGGGGCAGACAGCCCCTTTCAACTATTTGGTGTTTCTGTCTCTTTTCCGTATGGTTTTAGGAGAAGCAATAGCGATACCATTCCCGGCACCGCCCCTTGCCCTGGCACAACCAAACCCTTATTTTGCTTTGTGATAGGAAGCTGTGTACAGGTTGGACGTTCCTGGTGCCCATGAAAGAATCTTCCAGACCAGCTTATTTTTATTGATTGCGTCTTTGCACCCATGATTGAGCCCCGCCCTGCCCCTGCCATCAGCCCGCAACCCCCCAGCGCTGCCAGCCACCTAAGCCCCTGCCTCGCACCACCCTCGCCTCAGCCCAGCCCGACTACCTGGCCAGGCTGCCTCCGGCTACCTGGCCCGGCCCTGGGTTGCCCCGGCAGCGCGGGTAAAACAGCGTCGGGCAAACACAGACTCTGGCGAGGCGCTTGCAAGACGATACTTAAAACTCGAGCCACGTTCCTCACAGAGGCGTCCGACCCCAGGCGCGGGAAGCTCACGAGTGTCTCCCTCCCCCCCCCCCCC